AGCTCAACAACTAATGCTTCAACTGGTTTCCTCAAATTCAACTGAAAATGCAACTTATAATGACTTCTCCAGTCTCAAAATGATTCAACCGCACAAAATATGCAAAACAGGTGTTGCCTCAAGCACACCTGATGCAACTAATCAAGGGCTGGAACACTTGAAATAACTGAACTGACTAGGTATTTTTTTAAGTGTCACTTTTGACTGCATGTTAGAAATAAGTCAAAAGAATGGTCCACAAAGTTAAGAAATTAGATCATCTTTCCAAACAGGGAACAAGATACAAAAAAATAGCTTGGGCACTGAATGTTACTAGAGACACCACTGGAAGCATGTGTGAAGGACTTTTATGCAATTGCCTATATGCTTCAGTTTAATTCTCTCCCTGCTATTGTCTATATTGTTCGGTTCCAAATGTTGAGAATGAATGTATTCGTATACCGAACGGGGACCACATACCCTGGGTAGCAAGTAGCAATTAGAACACAGAGAAAACCGCAACTTAATTGCTACTGGGTGGCCACCATTTCCTGTATCAGAAGCACATGGTGAGAACAATGGATGGCGGCCATTTTAACTTACAGACACTGTTTGGACTTTTCAACACGGTGCCATCTCGCCAGTATTTGGTGCACAGAGACATCATGCAGTGGTTTTGGACTATACAGCAGGGGACACATTATACAGTGATTGTTTTTCATTTAGCCTGTACATGTTCTGCAGAATCTGTATTTTCCAAAGTACTGAACGGATCTGGGTGAATTTTGGATATGTGGTTCAACCAGATCCCCCGGTTCCAAGGATATACTTTTTATGGGGTTATTGCATGTTTTGGGGTCCCTGTGTGTTTTATGAAACTGTATTATTTCTGGCCAGCAGATAATTGAGCTTTGTGTATTGTAGAAACTCAATTATCTAGCCTGGCCCAGAGGAGGAGTTTTGTGTTGCATAAATTGTGAGTTCTGTGTGCCAGTAAATCAGTCTTGTTCCAGCATTAAGCTTTGGCTCATGTGTGGATTATTCGGCGATTCCAGGGATATTTCTGCTTATGGAATATTGAGTGCTTTTCTTTTATGGGAAGAAGGGAATGCTTGACGAGGATATTTTCTACTACCGTCACAGCATGGTTTGCAAGTTCAAAGTTAAAGGAACAGTGGTTACACTACCTAGATGGGGCAGAAAAAGGAAGCTATTAATGGCTGCGAAACAATTATTTTGAGAAGGCAGGTTGTGAAAAACCCTTGAGTAACTGCAAAAGACCTGCAGCAAGACTTGGTGGAAATAGGAGTTTTCAGTGAGCACAGTAACGCATGTTCTAAACACAGAAGGTTCCAATGCCAGAACTCCAAGACGTACACCACTACTGACTGAAAAGAACAAGAAACCCATAGAAAATCTGTGTTGGGATTTGAAGAAGGCGGTTGCAGCACACAAACCCCAGAATATTTCTGAACTGGAGGCCATGACTCATGACCAGTGAGCAAAGATTCCTCAGGAACACTGCCAGAAGTTGGCATCTGGCTATGTATCTTAATTGCAGCAGGTCATAACAGCAAACAGGTGCTCTACTAAGTACTAAAGATGCTTGCCATGAATACGTTTGAGACTGGAGTATAAGTTGCATTTTCAGTTGAATTTGGGAAAACCTCTTGAAGCATTTGTTGTTTGAGCAATTTCAATTGCTTTTGTTGTATTTGTTCATTGCAAACCGCTAAGTCTGTAAACATTGACAATAAACCTGATTTTCCAAATGAACCTGATCCATGGTGGTGGAATAATTTTGATTACAACTGTATGTTTCTGAAACTAAATCTCTCTAAAACTGAGCTCCTTGTCTTTCCTCCTCCTAATACTAATCATCCTCTTTAACTCTCCCTTCAAGTTAGTGGTATCCACATCAGTCCATCCTTGCAAGTGCGCTATCTTGGTGTCATACTTGATTCTGGCCTCACCTTTGAGCCTCACATCCAGCATGTTACCAAGTCCTGTAGATTCCATCTTAAAAACATAGCCCGCATCTGCCCCTTTCTTATACAAGATGCTACCAAAGAGCTTGTCCATGCTCTAGTAATTTCCTGCATGGATTATTGTAACCCTCTCCTAATTGGTCTTCCTAAAAACCGGTTAGCCCCGCTATAGTCTGTAATGAATGCTGCCGCCAGACTGATTTTCCGCTCTAGTCGGTCCAATCACACCTCACCCCTTTGTCAGTCCTTACATTGGCTTCCTGTATCCTATAGGAGTGAATTCAAAGTGCTAACCCATACCTTTCAAGCATTGACCAATTCTAGTGCCTCTTTTGTCTTATCACAGATCCATAGGTATGCCCCTTCTCTGTCTCTGCTCTGCCTGTAACCTTCTCCTGTCCGCTGCTCGCACGCGTACGGCCAACTCACGCTTTATGGCCATCTCTTTAGGAAAACTTATGTCCTCCCAGAGTAACCTCTACCTCACATACCTGCCTCTTGCTCTCTCCTAAAGGGCAGCACTTCACTCTCTCCTCCAGCTCTGCTTCACTCCCACCTTATTTGATTGCTATTTCCTGTCCTATTGTGTTTTACACCCCACCTCCTATAGACTGTAAGCTCGTTTGAGCAGGGTCCTCTTCAACCTATCATTCCTGTACATTTTCTTGTAATTGACCTATTTATAGTTAAATCCCCCCCTCTTATAATATTGTAAATCGCTACGGAATCTGTTGGCGCTATATAAATGGCAATAATAATAATTAAGACTCTGAAAACAAACAGATCACAAACTATTCAGGATTTAGGCATCACACACTTCTGTCTACTTTAGGCTATTGTTAAAACCTGCAATGTTGGTGTTTTTTAAAGAATGGCTTCTTTTATTAAATACTTTGGTTTGTAACAAATACTTATATTGATGGAAGAAACGCACATTTACAACTTCATCTTTCAACAAATCTGTTACACCCATCCATTGTCCCATTCCTTGACATGTGTGCTGTGAGGACGAATGTGATGCTTGCTTTACATACTCGGGCAGAAGATTTTCTTTTTAGGGGTGACACGGTTTTCCTTCTTCTTACCAGTGGTTGCTTTGCTATTTATCATCTTTTGGATCCTGACTATCGAAGGGGCCCCAACACTGATGGGATTTAATTCCCTTATACAAGTTAGCCAGTAATGCACCTCCATGGACTCTGATAGTTCTTTCACCAGACAGGTATGCTTTTCGGTGAAATTAATTCTCTCATGTAATGAAAAATACTAATTGCATTGATAAATATTTTACAGATAAGTTACATGCTACCAGCAATATTGGCTGGTGCAACCAACCCAATTGTGTGTGTATATATGCACATATGGATTTTTCATGAATAATTTCAATTTTATTTATTTTTATACATTTGGTTGGACTAGTAGACTTTTCCTGCTTACTAATCCTAATGGGAAAATATTAATTAGTAGTATTTATATAGGGCCAACATATTGCACAGCGCTTTACAATTGGAGAAAGTGGTGTGAGGAAGGACATGCTCAAAATAGCTTACAATCTATGTTATAATAATTAAGAACAAATGTATTGTAACTGATCTACTAAGCTGTAACTTTAGATTTTTTTTCCCTGTAATTGTAACTTTGGCCTCCGTTTTGGAATGCAGTTACCAACTCCCCACAATTCACTAGTTACTGATTACACCCCTGAGCTTATTTACCATGTCTTGGTGTCTGTGCTAGCTTGTTGCTTAGACTGAATTTAGACTTTACTTTGGGGTAACATGAGAGTGATAGACAGCACAGTGACGAAACCTGCCAGGAAAAGTATGTGGAATATGATGGCTAGCTAATGTTTAGCTTAACCCCAGGGTAGCCTTAGGGGGTATAATAAAATGGATCCATATTTTGCATGTGTGAATTACTCTTCTGAATCTCCAAGTACAATAAAAGAATGAAAGAGATTGGTAGTAAAATGAAAAATGATCTGGTTTTAGTTAAAGACTTAATGGATGCAGGCTTTTCAAAATCTAAAATATTTTGACAATACAAGAAGCAATAATATGACAGATGGATGGTTAGATAAAAACAACTGATAGAAATATAAATTACGGAATAGATAATGGCAGACTTTATATATAAATAAATAAAGAGACGATGGGGCAGAAATGTGTAGATAAATAAGGTAGATAGATAAGGGCAGATAAAAGATGCATAGACAGACAGGTAGGTGGATAATAGCTAGACAGAATAATTCATACATTAATAGGTAGACATTACCACTTGTAATAATAATGTCATTGCCAATAGAGCTATAGGGAAATTGAGATCATATGGCTGGCTGAGCATTGTGAGAGTTGTAGTCTATGACTGCATATTGCCTTTACCCTACTAGCTGGCCATACCACACACATGGTTGACCTGTTGTGCTACCAGCTAGAGCCATGCCAGCCTGTCACATCTTATATATAAGACCAGACCTGTTATTAAGGTATGCAGCTTCAGCGATGCAACTAGGTGACCGTGCTGTGAGTGGTGGTCCAGGTGCCGCCTGTGGGCCTGGGTTGCCCATCAATGCTCTCAGCAGCAGCACCTACAGAGAGAGGGGGAAAGGATGCAGGATGCCTGGAGTACATACCTTCCTGGTGGCCCCCCAGCTGTGGGGCTTCTGAAAGCTCGGAGCTTGGCACATCCTGCTGCTGTCTTCCCTCTTCAGTGCCAATAATGTCATCATCTCCCTCCCCGCTGCTTTCCTCCTCTGCAGCGGGGAGCTCAGGCTGCACACAGGGCATGCACTCCAAACACTCAGCATCCATAGCCAGATCCCTGAGAACAGGGTGGGAATGAGGCAGCCAGCAAGGATCAGACACAGACCATGCTCTAACTCCCCTCTTATGCTCTGTGGTAGGAGGCTGGCCCCTGTGTGCTGGAAGGGGCTGGGTACTCTGGAAGGCTGATGCAGGAGAGATTCCAGATGGATCTACATCTATAGAGGGTTGCAGGCTACCTCCTAAGAGATGGTTTAAGAGGGACTGGGTTGTGGAAGGAGGGGGTGTAATTATACAAGGAGGAGTAGAGAAACGCACACCGACTGGGGTAACAAGAGATGTACACTTACTGGCTTGTTTTCTATTAAACGTCATTTGTTATTTGCTGTATCACCATCACAGATTGCCTGTGGTGAACAATCTATTCATAGAATGCACAAATATTGTGACATTCCAAGTTAAGATAAACTAGAGCTGGTGAGGGTGATCAAGCTCATCAGATCCCATGGTCAGCCTACTCTTGCTTGGGTTGCATGGCATGTTTTGTTTGCACTTAGCTTAGACCTGTTGACTTTAAATCAGTTTTATTTGTATCCTCATGCCCTATGTGGCAACATTTATGTGTTATCTGAGAAATATAATGCAGATCACAAGCAGAAGAAAGTATTTACTATAAAGATACATTATTATTATTATTAATATTGGTGTTTACTTAGCGCCAACATTTTCTGCAGAGATTTACAATATTATAAATGGGGAGGGGGGGATTTAACAGTAAATGAGACAAGTACAAAATGTTACAGGAACAATAGGTGAATGAAAACCTTGCTCAAAGCAGTTTACAACCTAGAGACATCTGAGGTGTGTGCCCAGCTCTAACACTGTATTTCTAGGCGATATTGTGTCATACTATATTTATTTCATTATTGTGTTTTCCTATTTATGTTTTAATTTTAAGAATGACCTCAAATCGGAACACATACTTCATTCCTCTTGTCATTTTTGATGGTTCAGTAGACAAGACTAGCTGATTATTTCATTCAATAGGCAGGTTTGTGCTGCTTCCCAATTCCCTGATTAATCCACCCATTTTTTTCTTTGTCAAAATAGGAATAAAAAAAAAAAAACAAGAATCCACAATTAATAATAATAATAAATAATAGTAAAAACTGTAATATTTCCACAGTTTGTGCTATTTATTCTCCAGGATATATGCATCATACAAATTCTAGGGAAGATCTTTATGTATTATTTCTTACGTAATCACTTTTTTTTCCTAATCAAGCTGGTTCATTATTAAGCTCAAAACATGAAATATTTCACATACTGGCCTTACTCATTGCTCACATATAAAATGTATTGGTCCTGCTCACATAATCTGTATGATCTTTATATTAAGAATCAGATAATTAATTGCACACTGATATTTGCCTTTTCTTCCTAGACCTTTTAGATATTCCTCTTATTGACTCTCAAGAACTTTTCATCAGCTTAGCCCGGGATATAGATTTTTTTTTTTTTTTTCAAACATGCCTATGGTAATTTTATTTATGTATTTAAATTTAAAAAAAAAAAGTTTTTGAAGGGGCAAATCAGCCTGTCATCAAATACACCAGGCTATTGAAGCACTCTCTGCATAGTCCTAGTATGAGAATATCTAATTATGTGCTCATTGTGTGGTGCCTCTGGACAATTACTGGTGTCCCCAGATGAGGGACACCAGGGAACTAAATTGGGATGGTGGGACAGGATCATAAAATAAGTACTGGCCCGCCAAAAGCATGACAGTTGGGAGGCATGCACACCTCTAGTGGCTGCCAGACTACCATTCCTTCATGAAGGCCTTTTAATTTTCAAAGCAAGGTATTTACATTTGCTATCATCAGGTATAGCATGATGGTGCTGAATGCTGACAGAGAAGCACTAGATTCTGTGAGAAGCATCTGATTGGTGTAGTACAGTGTTACCATTAATGCTCCATAGGTCTCCAGTGCTTCTCTGTCAATGGTGACAGAAACTAGCAAATTCAAAGCTCACTAAACATAATTTTCTATCCGTTATGATTTCAAGGAAAATTGTTCATCAGAGAAAATTGTTCTGTTGTGTTTTTTTCTTTACTACAAAGTATAATATGCTAATCTTCTTGTACTTTCTAGACCTATCCTAAGCCATAACTTTAATTTTAATATTATGAATAATTACTAAGTGTTCTGGAGATAGTAATAAACCAATTCACCTTATTGTATTAAATTCCTCTTCATGTAGCTATTCACTCCCCTCTGCAGGCAGTAACTGCTCTAAATTGCTCTAAAACCCCAAAATACACTCCTACAGCTTGCTACTTGCCTACTTTACATTTAAATAATTCTATGATAACTCCAGGGCAACAAAGATAAATTTACTTCTCAATCTGACACACAAAACATTTAGTTTTTATCCATTTTTTACACATTCTCAAGTCGGCCATGTTCATAGTAAATTGAGCTAAATCTCAGATTATCATTTTTCCTTTAAGCACTCCATGTACACTTTTAGTGTTTCAGACATGTTACTTCTTATTATACCCCTGTTGGTGACTTTTAATTGTATTAACATCTATGCCTGAGGGACTAATTGAACATTTCTAGACTTTAGTTAGAGTATTGTCCAAATACTGGTTATCATTTATTTACCTTTTTTCTTAAATTGAACACCCATTCAGACTGCATCTTATGCCTCATCTGTTCAATTTACAGTTCTTAGACTCTGTCTTCAAATCATCCTCTGTGAACGCATTTTTATTTACCAGACACTTACTTATAACAGTGTCGCCATAGTGTTAATCACTTTGCTGTTCCATAGGAATGTCTATAATTCTCCTATGCAGTCAACTGGGATCACTAGAGATAAACAACACAATACTTATCTCTTCCAATTTTGGAGCTGGTTTACAAAGATATACTTAATATTTGCCTTCCATACCAGCACCAATTTTACAACCAGTATATCAAGTTCTTACAAAACTACCCATCTCACTTATAATAGTGTTGTATGTATCTACTAGAATTTATATTTTCTCTTTTCAAATAAACAATGGGAAAGATTTATTGCCGACACTTTTCTGTCTAATTTTCAGGAAATTTTGGGCATAATTTATTAAATCTGTTGAATGTTAATTATGTTATTGTTATTATTATCATTATTATTACTGCTATTTATAAAGCGCCAACAGATTCCGCAGCGCTGTACAATCATTCGAGAAACGTGCAATATACACAGACAAATACAAGAGGTAGAGAGCCCTGCCCGTAAGCTGATATCTAGCCATTGGAGCTCTTTTATACAAAAGTGCTTGGCTAGATGGCCCGTGAGCTTACAATCTAAAAGGATACCATGGAGATTTGAGACAAGAGGTAGCAGGGGAAATTTGGAGGTGATGGCTGAAAGAGTTAAAGGACCACTATAGTGCCAGGAAAACATACTCGTTTTCCTGGCACTATAGTGCCCTGAGGGTGCCCCCACCCTCAGGGACCCCCCCCCGCCCGGCTCTGGAAGGGGGAAAGGGGTAATAACTTACCTTTTTCCAGCGCTGGGCGGAGAGCTCTCCTCCTCCTCTCCGCCTCCGATCCGCCCCGCCGGCTGAATGCGCACGCATTCAGCCCGTCGCATAGGAAAGCATTTACAATACTTTCCTATGGACGCTTGCGTGCTCTCACTGTGAAAATCACAGTGAGAAGCACGCAAGCGCCTCTAGCGGCTGTCAATGAGACAGCCACTAGAGGATTAGGGGGAAGGCTTAACCCATTCATAATTATAGCAGCTTCTCTGAAACTGCTATAATTATGAAAAAATGGGTTAACCCTAGAAGGACCTGGCACCCAGACCACTTCATTAAGCTGAAGTGGTCTGGGTGCCTAGAGTGGTCCTTTAACAGAGAAGCAGCTATTGGTAAGATGTTAGGGGAATGAAGAGGTAATTGGGTGAGAATCTCAAACAGCTGGAGGAGCATGCTATATATTTAGGGGAAGCCTGGGTGGGCGGGAGAAGGGAAGGGTGGGTGGGAAGTGGGGTAGAGTAGTCATGTGTTATATACTATTGAAATGTTTAGCAACCAAATTCTATCACCCAAAATATTAATAACTGTCTACAAGAAATATTGGTCAGAAACATTAAATGACTATAGTACATACTGCATGCACAGAATATTACAAACTACAGGTAAAATTGTTACAAATCTATAGTAATACATGAGAATGTTAGCAATCCAGGAATACAAGAGGTGGAGTATCTTCCAGCTTCAGTCAGTGGTAGGTGTTTCACTGCAGGATGGAAAATGCAGTCTTTCACTGAGTTGAGTGAGACCTGAGAGTGGTAGGTGTTTCACTGCAGGATGGAAAATGCAGTCTTTCAATGAGTTGAGTGAGACCCTGTTGCGTCATAATTTTTTTTTTTTTTAAATAAGCATCATTTTTTATTCAACAAAACTGTGTATTTATGAATATTTCCACCACTTTCTCTGACAGAAAAGTGGCTGAATTTTCCTCCACTATAAATGGGTTGGTCTACTGAAATGGAAATTGCTAAAAATGCTGGTGGAATTTACTATGAGGAAAATCTCACTTTTAGATCACTAAAATAATGTATTTTAACCTCCACGTTTCAGAACATTTTGATTACTATCCCCCCATACTTTCATTACTTTCCTTCACAAATTGCATTCTGTATATATCATGAAGACCCTGTGTTTTTCTTTCTATACCCAACCTAATTTATCTAGTTTTTAGAAATATAAATACATCATATACACATATCTCTCTCTTTGCATGCTGTATATTTCAGTAGCTATATGTTTTTGCACATTGACCGCTTACTGTTCATAAGAAATGGACCATATAGGTGGTTTTGTTCCAAAAGTGAGCTCATTTAGGTTAGGTTGTATTGAGCAGGGCATTAAGGTGGTAAAGAACGGCCCTATTAATGAGTACTGGCGAACCCATGGGTGCCAGAACTCTGGTTATATTAAAAGCCTCCAGGACAATTCTTGTGTAAAAGTGGTGCGATTATGAAGTCATTAAGAGCGAATCTCTCTGTGCTAAAAAAATATTGTACAGGGATAAGTTAATGAGTTAAAATATTAAAACATATTTCTCATTTCACACTGAGAATAAAGAAAGTATGAAAATCTAAGATGTAGAATGAAACGTAGTCCGAGAGAGGCAAATGCAAAAATGTCTTGTGTTAAATCTTTATCCCATGACACAATATAGTTTTATTTAACCGTAATCCTTGCAGCTGCACTTACAAAGAGTATGTATTCTAAATTCTAAAGACATTTTAGAGATCCCCAAATATGTAAAAGTTGCAAACATACTGTACAAAGTGTTTTTAAATGCAGCATGCACAGTTCCGAATAAACTAAAGAAAGAGCCTTATGCCAACAAAAGACCATATTGCTTTTTTGAAGAACATGCTGTTTTTTTGCACTATTGGCAAGGACATACACCATTGTATATCTATTTCTGTGATCTTTCACTTGAAACGTTGCTAACTATACAAATAATAATAATAGCTATCATAATTTAATGTCTACATATCTGGGTGGAGCTAACATACGAGATGTCCCATCTGGATATAGGAAACATACCCAATGTTAACACATTGTGCATTTAAGGCAGGTATTTTATCTGCTTTATTTTGTTTTTGTATACATATATATATTTACTTGTATAAACTGAACATTGAAACCACTGACAGGTCAAGTGAAAAACATTGATTATATCATTACCATGTCACCTGTCATTCGTTCGGATATATTAGGCAGCAAGTGAACAGTCAGTTCTTCAATTTCAATTTGTTACAGAAAAAATGGGAAAGTGGAAAGATCTGCTTGACTTTGACAAGGGCCAAATTGTGATGTCTAGATGACTAGGTCAACCATCACTATTTGGCCCTCTCCAAAATGGCAAGTCTTGTGGCGTGTTCCCAGTATGCAGTGGTTAGTACCTACTAAATGTGGTGCAAGGAAAGACAACCGGTGAACTGGCATCAGGATCATGAGTTCCCAAGGTTCATTGATGCATATAGGGAGCAAAGGCTAGCCTGTCTGGTCTTAATACACAGATTTCTGAAAATTTTAATACTGGCCAGGGCCGGCCTTAGGGGTGTGCGAGCTGTGCGGCTGCACAGGGCGCCATGGGGGCAGGGGGCGTCATGTGGCCGACATAGCTCACACATAATGAACAGAGGTAACTATGTGTGATTGTCTGCCTGTGTGTGGCTGTCTGTGTGTTTGTCTGCCTGTGTGTGTGCGTGCGTGACTGCCTGTGTGTGTGTCTGTGTGTATGACTGTGTGTGTGTGTGCGTGTGCGTGTGTGACTGCCTGTGTGTGCGCGTGCGTGTGTGACTGCCTGTGTGTGCGTGACTGTCTACCTTTGTGTGTGTGACTGTGTGCGTGTGTGTGTGACTGTGTGTATGACTGTCTGCCTGTGTGTGTTTGACTGTCTGCCTGTGTGTATGACTGTCTGCCTGTGTGTGTCTATGTGACTGTCTGCCTGTGTGTGACTATCTGCATGTAAGTATGTGTGTGTGTGACTATTTGTGGCTGTATGTATGTTACTGTCTGTACATGTGTGTGTGTATGACTGTCTGCCTGTAATTGAGTATGTGTGTGACTGCATGTACCTGTGTGTGTGTGACTGTCTGCCTGTAATTGAGTATGTGTGTGACTGCCTGTACCTGTGTGTGACTGTCTGCCTGTAATTGAGTATGTGTGTGACTGCATGTACCTGTGTGTGTGTGACTGTCTGCTGTCTGCCTGTAATTGAGTATGTGTGTGACTGCCTGTACCTGTGTGTGACTGTCTGCCTGTAATTGAGTATGTGTGTGACTGCCTGTACCTGTGTGTGACTGTCTGCCTGTAATTGAGTATGTGTGTGACTGCATGTACCTGTGTGTGTGTGACTGTCTGCCTGTAATTGAGTATGTGTGTGACTGCCTGTACCTGTGTGTGACTGTCTGCCTGTAATTGAGTATGTGTGTGACTGCCTGTACCTGTGTGTGTGTGACTGTCTGCCTGTAATTGTGTATGTGTGTGACTGCCTGATCCTGTGTGTGTGTGACTGTCTGCCTGTAATTGTGTATGTGTGTGACTGCCTGATCCTATGTATGTGACTATCTGCCTGTGACTATCTGCCTGCGACTGTGTGCATGTGGTGGATTTGACAATGTATATGTATAACTGTGTGCATCTTACTGTGGGACTGTGTGCACATAACTCTGCAAAAATATATACCTGCATTCACACATAGGCCTAAATGCATATTTTAATCTGAATTAAATACCCATCACACACAGCCAATAAACCCAGCACAAATATCACATACAACCAATACACGCATATCACACACAGTTAATACATCCATTACAAATATCACACACAACCAGCACGTACCACAACCCAGTCATCACCCCTATCACATACACAGACAACACAAACATGACTTCATATTATAGTGAGATGTATTACTGTGGAGCTCTGGTATATAAAATGCACATTACTCTGTGTTTTATAGTTAGAGAGCCTGGTGATACACTAATAGACACATTACTTAGAGTTGTATTGTTGTGTAGTGTATGATCTTGTCACGGAGCTCCACATTACTGGGAGTTGGGTTGTTGTGGAGCTCTGTGATAAATGGAGAAGCAGCGCATTACTGCTAATTTTTATTCCAAGAGGTCAAGGTAAATAAGTATAATCCAGAGCTCCAAAGCAAAACCACTAACAGTATTATGTGACATACTTAGTCTGCTCCTCTGTAATGTAGGGCAGGCAGTCTGGCACTTCTGGCCTGCACTTCTATTGGCTGCAGACCACCGCAGATTACCACAGAACACTGCAAGTCCCTGAGCTTGCGAGACAGATACGCATGGTCTGTACCCAGTGGAGGTGCAGACCAGATTCAGATCAGCATGCCCCTCTCCCAACTAGGTAACAACAGGAAAGGAGGAATGAATATTTGTTTTTAAATCCTTATATTTAATAAATTCCCTATATAATCAATACACACACACTATACATGGATGACGGGGGAGGGGGGGAGATGGTGCTGTGAAGATTTTTCGCACAGTAGCCTTAAGGTCTAAGGCCGGCCCTGATACTGGCCATGATAAAAAAAAAAAAAAAGTCAGAACACAGTGCATTGCAGTTTGCATATGGGGCTGCTTAACCACAGACCAGTTGCCCGTGATAACCCTGGTCCACCAGCGTAATTGCCTTCAATGGGGAAATGAGCATCAGAACTGGAACATGGAGCAATAGAAGAAGGCAGGCCAGTGGAACCAGTGGTTCCCAACTTAGTCCTCAAGTACCCCATAACAGTCCAGGATGTAGGGATTGCCCTAGTTGTGTCAAAGGTGTTTTAAAAAAAGAAAAAACACTTTAGACACAACAGGGTAATCTCTAAATCCTGGACTGGTAGGGGGTACTTAAGGACTGGGTTCCTGGCATTCATGTTACTTTGACACATAACACCTGTTACAGACTACAAACAAGCCTTCAGTGCAATGGTGCTTCCTGATAACAGTGCCCTCTTTCAGCGGGTAAATGCATCCTGTCACAGTACAAAAATTGTTCAAGAATGGTTTAAGGAAAATGACAAGTGTTGCCTTGGCCTCCAAATTCCCCAGATCTCATTCCGAATGAGCATCTGTGGGATGTACTGGAACAACAAACACGATCCATGGATGAAGGATTGCAACTTGCAGGATTTAAAGGATCTGCTGCTAATATCTTGGTGCCAGATACCACAGGACACATACAGAGGTGTTGTGGAGTCCATATCTTGATGGATCAGAGCTGTTTTGGCAGCACAAGGGGCACTATTAGGCAGGTGGTTTTAATGTTCTGTCTGATCGTTGAAAGTATTGCAACACTATTAATGAGATTATAAACTAGCAGAATATTCCTTAAATTTGATACTATTTTACTGATTTTCATTTGTTGCCTTTTGAAAAACATCCAGTGGCTGTTTAATAACAATTTCAAATGTTGCTTTATAGTTAACATGATACGCACCTGAAATGAGGGCATATGACATAGTTCTATTTGTAGAGACATTACAGAAACCAAATGTCACAATAACTCAACTTCAACTAAACATTTTGCACCCTTGCCAAAGAAAACTGCTATCATAAAACAGAGGTGAAGTTAAAACTGTCATCTCTCATTACTAAATGGATAGCATTTGTTTTGTCTTTCATTTGGGAAATACATCAAGAGAGCTTGAACTATAAATATAAAAGTGATAACGAATACAACCAGCAATCCATTGACGCCTTGTGTCACCTTAAAAATATTTCATGGCAATCAAATGATTAAAGGATCACTATAGTGTCAGGAAAACAAACTTGTTTTCCTGGCACTATATAATCCTTAGATCCCCCCCCCCACTCTCAGGGCCACCCTCCCACTGGGCTGAAGGGCCTAAAACCCCTTCAGCCACTTACCTTTATCCAGCGCCAGGCTCCCTCGGCGCTGGTGACCTCTCCTCCCCCTCCGATGCCAGCTTCGCGTGCATTAAAAACACCCACGGGAAAGCATTTCTCAGTTTTCGCATTAAGCATCAGAGAAGCCACTGACAGCCACTAGAGGCTGGATTAACCCTGCAATATAAACATAGCAGTTTCTCTGAAACTGATATGTTTACATCTGAACGGTTAAAACCTTCATTGAGCAGAAGTGGTCTGGGTGGCTATAGTGGTCCTTTAAGAAAATTGTGTTGTGCTTGTTTTAAAACCGATTAGCAGTATGTAGGCGCATACCCTTTTGTTCATAATGCCGATGAAAATGTTAATCCAGTGGCGTTTCCACTACAGACCTCGGATTGAAGAGTTATTTTTCCAGAATGTGCACTTGGGGACGAGCTATCCGGGGATACTACATATGTGGGGTTATCTCTGCTTTTCATGTTTGTGAGGTTTTTCATGTGTTCGGGTGATAATTGCATTAGCACTGATGGTCCTAGGAGTTCATTAAATTAAGGTAGGTGTGTGTGTGTGTTTTGCGATTCTCTCCCATACATCGAGGTGCCCGGGCGGGCTTACCTATGTTTTTGCTGGAGACCCCATGCTGGGGGTCTGTGTACATAAGCCTGTATTTTGTTCAATAAAGTTTTCAGTATTGTCATCTTTCATCAAGTCTTGGCTGATGGTTGGGTGATGGCCATAATCTCTCCAAGTACTTTGCCGGATCAGGGAGAGATTCTTAGCAGAGGTACTCAACCGGAGTAGCAGAACTCCGCTACACTTGTTTTGTTTTAGATATAGTATTTTGGGAGGCCATAGCATGTACTTGACTTTGTCCTGGGTTCATCTAGGTAGTAGGCTGCGTGACGTTTTATTATACTGAAAACATGGAACATTGTGGGGGAACAGTATATTGACTTGTGGACAATCAGCCGCAAGTTTGAAGCAAGCAGGCATCGTGACAGAAAGGCATAGTATAAAATGTAACAGTGAGGACATGCAGAGTAACTGAAAATTAACATGTAACAAACAAACAAAAAAACAAAACTAAGATTTACATTGTTCAGTTAAAGTTTATTTGTTCACTATGCTTAGGAAATTTACTGCTGAGGAAGCCCATAAAATTGTAAATGCTGAGGGGCGTGGCCTGGCTACTCACGAGAATGGACGCGTGAGAGATCAGCTCCGACGGGGGTAGCTCAAAACAGCAGCGATTATCTTAGCATACCCGACAAACAGACCCACACACACCAGCATAGGTGAGACCTGCACCGACTATGTCCCAACGCACAGCGAAAAAGGCAAAAATCCGACCGGCGGAGCTGCAAATAGCGGCACTCACACCGCCGCGAGGGAAGCCTCAAAATGGCGCCGAAGGCCCTAACTCACCCACAGCCTACTCCGAACGGAGTGACAGCACTTCAATATCCCTGGAGCCCACCATACCGGCCTCAGAGACGGCAATGCAGAGAATGATGCAAGAACTGCAAAATAACTTACAGGCTGAATTCTCCAAACTTGCCAGAGACGTCCGCACGGATATTAAAGCGATATGCGAGCGCACTGCACAGCTGGAAGAAAAGACGGACGAAATAATAGCAGCACACAATAATCTTGCCTCAGGATATGATTCATTCGACGCAAGACTGAATGCACTTGCAGCAAAAGTGGCGGATCATGAGGACCGCGACAGGCGAAACAATATCCGCCTACGCGGTATTCCTGAAGAGGTTAAACCCGCTGAGCTTCAAGATTATGCCACGGAGCTATTCAAAGCTTTATGTCCTGCTATAAAGGATGAAGAACTGCATCTAGATAGAATACATCGACTACCGCGCCCTAAATTTCTTGCTCCCACTGCTCCGCGAGATGTGTTAACGCGGGTTCACTATTTTGCAACCAAAGAAAAAATTCTGAGAACGGCAAGAAACCCAAGCGCAATACCGGAAAAATTCACAGGTATCCAGCTTTTTACAGATCTATCGGCGGCTACATTGGCGAAGCGCAAGGAATTCACGTCTTTCACAGCAGCTCTGCGAAGCGCAGGGCTCCAATATAAATGGGGATATCCCACCCGCCTCATAATAAGGAGAAATGGAGTGGAGCATCAAGTTCACACAGAACTAGAAGGTCTCCGTCTTCTCAAAGAATGGAATCTCCCTATACCCACACAAGGCGGACACGCTGAAGATGGGACTCACCGACAATCTTCAAAGATGGTGACTAAAGATTGGCTTACGGCATCCAACTACAAGTGAAGGACATTTCCCTGTATACTCAAGCATAGCCGAACTACACTCTTGCACACATCGCCTGACGATATGTGAGCATTTCTCACTGCTTGAAGGCAGTCCATATACATGAGAACCATGTTGCTTTATTTGGTTGTCTTAATTATTTATGTTTTGACTACTTATGTTCTGTTGATGCTATAACATTTGTTGGGACAGTTGACCTAGATTTAGGAACAAGGCGGTCCCGAGCCAGAAGGGTAAAACACACACACACATGAATACCCTCCCCCCATTCAGGCTCTAAAGGGCCACGAAATTCTACCAGACGGCAGACACCTCAGATCTGCAAGTCACATTGTACATAGTTGCCTTCGGGCACTTAATTACCCTCTACCCTTCTTCTCCCTCCCCAATTCCCTCGAGGTATCTAACAGTAACTTTGGATGTTCACGTTCGTAGACTAATCGTACAAGCGGTACATAATGCCCGAATATATCGAACACACAAGATTTATGCACGGTGTATTCATATTCACATTACTACGTCACAGGGGGAAACCCACATAGAATCTAATTTTGAGAATCTCTGCGATTTAATAAGAAATGAAAGAAATACGATTGCATGGGCACCGCTTAAACACGCCACCATCAGGTTATTGCTCCACAGTCTCCAACAATGTTCCAAAGTGTATCTAGCACCCTGTGAGGCTCACCAAAGATGACTAATATATAATATATTATCACTAAATGCTAAAGGTCTTAACTCCCCTCACAAAAGGAGACTTGCACTAACCGAAGCTACTAAGCTTAAAGCCCAAATTGCATTTTTCCAAGAAACCCATTTCCTTAACACTAATATGCCCAAATTCACATCGAAACAATTCCCCTTAGGGTTCCATGCAGGGTATGCCAAAAAAAAAAAGAGGCATATCTATTTTAATACACAAGGATGTTACCTTTAAACTCTGCAAGAAAGTTAGAGACAAAGAAGGCAGGTTTCTTCTACTCCATTGCACTATAAACGATGACCCATTCACACTATTGAATGTGTATGGCCCACATGAGAACCAAAAAGACTTTGTATCCAAAATTATATCCTTGGCCCACAAATTCCCTTGTAACAACTTGATCATTGGGGGTGACACCAATTTTATACTTGATAGCGCAGCCGACACAACATCCACACATACAGTAAATCGCTCAACCTCACGAAAACGCACCCACATTACACAACAAATAAGGCAGACGATACATGGAGCAGGCCTTCTAGACATATGGAGGATATTACACCCATCTGAAAAGGATTTCACCTTTCACTCGCAGGTCTACAACTCATACTCCAGAATAGACAGGTTCCTATTACCCACTGCCATGACCCGTAAGGTCTGCAGTGCCCAGATAGGGACGATGACATGGTCGGACCATGCACCTATACTACTCACACTACAGGAACATTTCCCACATAAGGGCCAGGGCACATGGAGAATCAACGAAACATTACTACGTGACCCACACATAGTTAAAAGCATTGAAGAAGACATTTACACCTTCTTTGAACTCAACGACACGGGAGAGACTTCTATTGATACAAACTGGCAAGCACATAAGGCAGTGATCCGAGGGAGCCTGATTAAACATGCTAGTTATAAAAACAAACAAAGAAATGCTAAATATACGGACCTCATAAAACAAATAACGGAGTTGACTCATGCAAACAAACTAAACCCTTCTCAAACGCATTACGATACCCTTAAAACTTTGCAAACGCAACTAAGTGACACAGAGACAGAGAAGACTAATTACATTTTACACAAGCACCGACATAAATTTTTTGCACATGGTAACAAGTCTGGCGCTGCGCTTGCAGCAAAGCTCAAGGAGCGCTTACCGAATTCCAAAATAGCCTACCTACTGACAGCTGACAAACAAAAAATCCTACACCCGCAACATATTGTAGACGAATTTGCAAAGTACTACAGTACTTTATACAATCTCAAAGAGGCAGTGGGTACACACGTCCCCACTCCCGCCCAGATTCAGGATTTTCTATCCAAAATCAGTCTACCTACTCTCATAGACGAGGAAATAGCACAGATCACGAGCACATTCACAGAATCAGAGGTGGCTGCAGTGATAACTAAATTGCCCACACATAAATCTCCGGGTCCCGACGGTTTTACGAACCTGTACTACCAAACATTTGCAAAGGCACTACTCCCACATATGACACAGCTTATAAACTATTGCTACACCAACGGTTATATGCCGAAAGAGATGCTTCAGGCGCATATCTCCACATTGCCAAAGCCAGGCAAACCTGCCGATATATGCCCAAATTTCCGACCCATATCCCTCCTGAACTGTGATACCAAGATTTATGCAAAACTGATAGCAGAGAGACTGAAAGAAATACTGACACGTATTGTCCATAATGATCAATCAGGTTTTGTTAAACAGAGACAAGGGTCTGACAACACCAGAAAAATACTAAATATTTTAGCTCATATGGAAGCCCATCATATGGAAGGTCTTCTCCTAGCGCTAGACGCGGAGAAGGCCTTCGACAGACTAAATTGGCATTACATGGAACAAGTGTTGCTTAAGTATGGTTTCCCAATGTCCTTTATCAATGGGGTCATGGCGTTGTATAAACAACCTTCAGCCAGAGTCACAAACGCAGGCTTTATCTCGAGCCCATTTACTATCACAAATGGGACAAGGCAGGGATGCCCACTTTCACCCCTATTGTTTGTGCTCTCCCTCGAACCCTTAGCACATATAATCAGAACTCACACTCATATTAGGGGTGTACGGGTGGGAACCGAAGAATTTAAATTGGCTATGTTCGCTGATGACATTTTCATAACCCTAGCAGATCCGGGCGAATCCCTGTCCTGGCTCCTGGGCATTCTCGAGGAATACAGTAGGGTCTCTTATTATAAACTCAACCAATTAAAGACCCAAGCCCTACCAATTAGGTTGCAAACGGTGACGGTACAATCATTGAAGCACAAATACAAATTTGACTGGAGAACTACCCACATAACGTATCTGGGAGTGAAAATAGCACCCACACTTAGAGGAATTAACACACTCAACTTTTCCTCGCTCCCACAACTATGCCGGCAATCGCTGCACAAATGGAAAGATGTGTGGTTATCCTGGCTTGGAAAGATTAATGCTGTAAAAATGGTGATTCTTCCCAAGCTTTTATATGTATTTAGGATGCTTCCTCTCCCCTTGTCCGCCTCAGTAGGCAAACAACTACAGCGTCTTATAAACAACTATATCTGGGAAAATAAGAGGCCACGCCTCCCGAGTGTACTGCTACAAATTCCGGTGAACAGAGGGGGGACAGGTCTCCCTAATATTGCGCTTTACCACAAGGCCGCACTACTGGAAGCAGCAATCAAACTGCATGCCCCCTCACATACATTCCAATGGGTGGACATGGAGAATAATTATTTTCCACGTTCCTCAGTGGTAGACGTACTGTGGACACCCAGACACCTCAGGGATAAGAGCACCTCAATGCTCCCTACATCTAGACTCACACTCCAAATGTGGGATTACCTCCATAAACGACATGCGAACACTACAAAATTTTCTTCATGGGCGCCGATAACAACGTTACATTCCATCTCCCCATGGTTATCTTTACATAAATGGAAAGACAAGGGCATCACACACATCACTGATATATATCAACATGGGACCATTTTACCCTTCCCTGATATCCAACTCAAGTACACCTTGCCGTCCAACTACATATTCCCATACCTCCAACTCAAAAGCATAATTAAAGAAAGGGTACAAACCCCGACCCAACATGCTCCCGCCACAAACCTTGATCTTATCGCTTTATATAATAGGTGCCGAAAAGCGCCAATAAAAGCTAAAGCTTTATCCCTTGGATATGCTGCCTTAGGGCAACATCCCCCTCTGACGAATTTCACTTTTGCGATCCAATGGCATAAAGAAGGGCACCCACAGTTCACTAATGTTCAGTGGCTAAGGTCACTTGGGGCACTCAAAGGCGTTACCTCTTGCTACACCCATATAGAGGCACATAAGAAACTTGTGTATCGGTGGTACCTCACACCTCACAAGCTACAAAAAATTTATCCGGCCACCCCGAACACATGTTGGCGATGCACTAACGATATAGGGACAATGAGGCATGTCTGGTGGGACTGCCCAAATATTTCCCCATTGTGGACTGAAGTCCAACGACTAGGCAATTCTCTAGGAATAATGAAGGGAACTCTAACACCCACCATTGGTCTGTTCCTATTGTTGCCTGCTCAAGTTTCTGCACAGGACAAGCAACTACTGATTATACTAATACTAGCTGCGCGCAACCTTATTGCATGCCACTGGAAACAACAGATTTGCCCGACTCCACAGCAACTACTCCACAAAACACAACAGTATCTGAGACATGAGATGCTGATTACATCGACACCCAGTCGTAGAGATATCACACATAATAATTGGCAACGTTGGAGCAACTACATAACCGACAGTCAGAACCCAGGGTAATTTATCATAAATACATAGGCTACTCTACATGCCGAGACGGCTTTAAGCACAAACATGACATACGACGCACGACCAACAACAGGCTGGATACACATTTGTAGGTGTTAACGACTGCACAAGGTGTTATCTTTGCAACTAATTATTTGTAACTACTACATTGTAACTATCTAATAAATACTTGTGGATACCCCTTCTTCCTTTCTGTACTCCCACATGGTTGTTTTGAAAATTCAATAAAATACGAATTTGAAAATTGTAAATGCTAATTGAGAGGCAACAGACACTGCCTCAGAGAGACTCTTTAATACAGTGGTTCCCAAACCAGTCCTCATGGCCCACCAACAATCCAGGATTTATGTATTTCCCTGTTTTATTCCAATGGAGATACTAACAAAACCTGGACTGTTGGTGGGTCTTGAGGATTGGTTTGAGAACCACTGCTTTAACAGATACTGCATGGCACTCAGTAGAAAGTTCTGCGTCCCCTGGAACTGATCATAGAGTACCCCCTAATGATTTCACACCGGACATGCCTGACTAGCGGACTCGTCTCCATATAGCTCTTATTATTATTATTATTATTGCCATTTATACAGTGCCAGCAGATTCCGTAGCGCTTTGCAATATTATGTTTGTAATTTAAGTTTTGTGTAAATTACAAGAAAACTTACAGGAACGATGGGTTGAAGAGGACCCTGCTCGAACGAGCTTACAGTCTATAGGAGGTGGGGTATAAGACACATTAGGACAGGAAATATCAATCAAATAGGGTGGGAGTGAAGCAGAGCTGGAGGAGAGGGTAGAGAGAGCAAGAGACAGGTAGAGGTTACTCTAGGAGGCTATAAGCTTTCCTGAAGAGATGCGTTTTAAGGCTCTTCTTAAATGATTGAAGACTAGGGGAGAGTCTGATGGCGGTAGGCAGGCTATTCCATAGGAAAGGAGCCACCTGCGCAAGGTCCTGCAAGCGCCGTACGGGTGCGAGCAGCGGTCAGGAGGTGGTCATGGGCAGAGCGGAGGGACCGAGGAGGGGCATACCTATGGATCATTGAGGAGATATGAGGGGCTAGAATTGTTCAGTGCTTTAAATGTATGGGTTAGCACTTTGAATTGACTCCTATAGGATACAGGGAGCCAATGTAAGGACTGGCACAGGGGTGATGTGTGAGAGGACCGACTAGAGAGCAAAATCAGTCTAGCTGCAGCATTCATTACAGACTGTAGCGGGTCAATACGGCTTTTGGGGAGACCAATCAGGAGAGGTTTACAGTAATCCATGCGGGAAATTACTAGAGTATGGACAAGCTCTTTGGTCGCATCTTGCGTAAGAAAGGGGCGGATGCGAGCTATGTTTTTGAGTTGGAACCTACAGGATTTGGCAAGAAACTGGATGTGAGGCTCAAAGGTGAGGCCAGAGTCAAGTATGATGCCAAGACAGCGCGCTTGCAAGGATGGACTTATGTGGATATCACTGACTTGAAGTGAGAGAGGAGGATCAGTATAATGAGGAGGAAAGAGTTCAGTTTTAGAGAGGTTGAGTTTCAGAAAGCGTGAGGACATCCAGTCAGAGATGGAAGAAAGGCAAGCAATGACACGTTGCAGGACGGCAGGGTAGAGGTCCGGGGAGGAGAGGTATATCTGAGTGTCTTATGCAGCTATTCTTGTGGGATGATCTCTTTGGGGAGGTTTTCACCCAGACAAACCTTTAAGTAAAAACTAAGGGAACCTTACAAAGTTCTGTTGTAAGGAAAGGGTGAAATTAAGTTAGGAGGTGTCAATTCTAAAATTACGATCGAAATTGCAGACACTCTGTCTGGCATAAGAGTGAACCAAAGACCTGTCCTGCAATTGATAGCAGACCTAAAAGGATTGTAGCCAGCGTGGAAGAGTTAATTAGTGTGATTAACTGTCAGCCCAAAGTTTTTTGGTTTTTTTATTGCTTTTTGCTGCAGAAAGAAACATACAGAGGGACGGGGGGAAGACAAAAAGGCACACACAGAAGGGCTGTATATATCACTGGTGGATCCAGGGGGGCAACTGGGCAATTGCCCCCCCTCCCCTGTCCGCAGGCACCGTGCGGGCAGCCGGCAGGGGAGGGAGGAAGAGAGGACCCGGGAGCTCAGCCTGCAGCTCCTCTGGGTCCTTCTTGCGCGAGCACAGAGCATTGCTGCGGTTACCATGGCAACGTTACCGCTCTTGCGAGAGTCAACTCTAGCCCTGGAGCTATGGGCTAGAGTTCACTCTCAACACTGTGACCACCAGGGATTCCTGGTGGTCGCAGTGGTGAGAGTGAACTCTAGCCCCATAAACACACTGCCCCCACACACACACACACCATACACATTCACACACTGCCCACACATACACCATACACATTTACACACATTGCCTCACACACACACATACACTGCCCATCCATATACAAACAGCCCCCCATACTAACATTTCCACACACATACTCATACACACATTGCCCCACACACCCTACACATTCACACGCTACACCCCCCCACACACACTGAACCTTTCACACACACTGCACCCCTCACACATTGCACCACTGCTCCTATACCCTACTACATCCCCATATCCCAGCAGACCCCAGGTAAGTTGTCAAACAGTTCTTAAACGGTTTGACTACTTACTCTGGGAGGGGGGCCCGGCCCTCCTGGCACCATAACCACTACACAGAGCAGTAGTGGTTATTGGGCATGGATTATTTCTTTAAATAATCTACAAGTGCCCCAGTAGCCAGCCAGCCCACAGGCCGGCCAGCCAGCCAGCCAGCCAACCCACAGGCTGGCCAGTAGCCAGCCAGCCCAAAAGCCACCAGTTAGCGAGCCCACAGGCCAGCCAGGCCAGTAGCCAGCCCACAGGCCTACAGCAAGCCCACAGCCTACCAGTCGCAGCCTGCCAGCCGCAGCCAGCAAGATCACAGCCTGCCGACAGTAGCCAGCAAGCCCCCAGCCTGTCAGCCGCAGCCAGTAAGCCCACAGACTGCCAGCCAGCAACAGTAATTAAGGTAAGAGGAGCCAACTTGGCCTAGGTATCAGCGAGCTATGTTGTGTTGCTATATTGTGAATAGGAACCAGAGTGTTGGAGAGACCCCCCTCCATGGCCCATTAGCCCTCAATTGTAGTCTCTACTGGGGCCTCGAAGGGATTATTGCACTTTTGTTCCTTGTGTCTAAAGATTGTGTAGGGTGTGGCTGGAGGCGGTGCATGGAGGCGGGACAAGGGTGGCGCTTGCTGCAGATTATGGGTGGGGCCTGTAAAGGGGCCCTTGATTTATTTTGCCCGGGGGCCCTGAGGGTTCTCAGTCCGCTCCTGGGTATCCCATACCCCCTTGATGTCCTTTCTTTGAGAGCACAGTAATGTTAATTCTGGGCTTTTTGCCTTTCCAGATAAAGTTGTTAATACTGCTTTGGATCATATTTAACCATTGTATAGGGACAGGGCCGGACTGGGGATTCCAAAGCAGCCCTGGAAAAAAAATCTATGCCAGCCCTATAAGTCATTGCGCCATATATTGTCGCATGTAATATGTAAGGCTATGTCTTGCCAGGACAGATGATTGAGTTATATATATATATATATATATATATATATATATATTGCTTTTTCCAATATAAAATATTGGCATACTCACATGCAGACACAGACAATCTCACTGACACAAGCTGATTGATACACAGCCTCATAGACAAACAATCTCACTGATATACATAAGGTCATTGACATAAAAACACAAGCCCACTCACTAGCAGGTGCGCACACACACACACAGCTTAATGTAGTGGCTCTGGTGTCTATAGCCTGTCCCTGCAGGCTTTTCAATGTAAACACTGACTTTTTAGAGAAAAGGCAGTGTTTAGATTGCTTCCTAGTGACAGACACTCAGACGGTCACTAGAGGTGCTTCCTGTGTCAGTGCGGATTGGCTGAGATCATCAAGCTTGATGATCTCAGCCGTAGAGGCAGGGCCAGTCGAGGGGAGACCAGCACGATGTGGGGGGAAAAAAAGTGAGTAAAAACATATATACACACACATACCATGACAGACACACACCATGACAGACACACACCATGACACAGACAGACCGTGACATAGACACACACACCATGACACAGACAGAAACAGACACACAATGACAGACACACCATGACACAGACACACACACACCATGACCGAGACACACACATACCATGCAAGACACACACACACCCTGACAGACACACACCTTAAAAAAGACACACACACCTTGACACACACACACCATAACACAGACAGACCATTACACAGACACAATGACACACAGACACACACACCACGACACAGAGAGACCGTGACACAGACAGACACACAGTACATGACACAGACAGACACACACACACACCATTACATACAGACACACACACCATAACAAACACACACACACCATGACAAACACACACACACCATGACACATATACACATTACATGACACACACACCATGACACAAACACATTGCATGACACAGACAGACCGTGACACATACAGACACACATTACGTGACACACACACACCATGACACAGACACACATTGCATGACAGACAGACGCACACCCCATGACACAGACACACACACCATGACACAGAGACACACACACCATGACACAGACAGAGACACACACACACACCATGACACAGACAGAGACACACACAGACACACACACACATACACTCATACTGACACACAATTTCTACCTGTGGGGAAGCTCCTTTGGTGGCCGCAGAGGGAGCTCTTTAGGCGGCCGCAGAGGGAACTGGCTGTTCTGGTGGCCGCAGGGGGAGCTGGCTGTTCTGTCTCTGCTCCCCCTCCCCAGCGCGCCGCTTAATGAGACCAGGGCCGGAATATGACGTCATATTCCGGCCTCGGTCTCTTTGTAGTGCGCTGGGGAGGGGAAGCAGAGCCAGAACAGCCAGCTCCCCCTGCGGCCGCCTAAAGAGCTCCCTCTGCGGCCGCAGGTGAGCCAGCTGCCTGCCCGGGCCCTGGTGCTGACGGCCCACTGGGAAATTTCCCGGTATCCCGGTGGGCCAGTCCGGCCCTGTATAGGGATTGAAAGTGGAAGCATACAGAATAAATATGTAAATTTCAGAATTATGAAAGATTTGATTGTATTAATCCTACCCCACCAGGATATTTTGTGAGCTCTCCAAACTTTCAATAATGAGTTAGTCTCCTTTAATAATTTTAAAAAATTGGTCTCCATAGTGGGTGATGGGTCAGTTGTAATTACCAGGCCCAAATTGGTGAGTTCCTTATTAGTCCAGATAAAATCATATTCTTTTTTCAAAGAAGATAATATATTACTTTGGATATTTAATACCATAGCAGTTGTTTTACTCATATTCAATTTATAATTAGAAACTGAACTATATTTTTCAAACTTCCGCATCTTCCGCATATAGACAGATTTTCCCATCATTCTCTTGTATCCCCATTCCCTTAATCGACTTGTTGCTCCTGATATTATTAGCTAATGGTTCAACTTATAACACATATAATAACGGTGAGAGAGGACAACCCTGTCGGGTTCCATTGGAGATAGTAAACCATTCAGAGCATAAATCTCGGCCCACTATTCTCGCCATAGGATTGGAGTAAATTGCACCCACAGCATCAAGAAACCAACCATTCAATCCAAATTGTTCCAGGGTGGACCAAAGGAACTCCCATCCGACCATGTCGAAGGCCTTCTCCACGTCTACCGCCAGGGTCAGGAGGGGAACCCCCCGGTCCTAGCCCAATCCAAAACATCCAAGACTCTGCGGGAGTTATTACAGGATTGCCTGCCCATCATAAATCCTATCTGATCTGAATGAATCAATGACGGTAGAATTATTTTTAACCTTTTGGCCAGAACTGCCGCATATAATTTGATATCCACATTAATCAGGGAAATAGGGCAAAATTATTTATCTCAGTAGGTAACTTATCTTGCTTCAGGATAGGGGTAATGTGGGCCCGTAACAAAAGAGACATGACCCTTATTTGATAATTCATTAAAAGTATCTACTAATAATGGTATTAACTCTTTTTTGAAAACTTTATAAAATAAATTTGAATATCCATCCGGGTTTGGGGCTTTACTACTTTCCAGTCTACTTATTACAAAATCTACTTCTTTGACCATGATAATTCTATTTAAATAAACCCTTTGTGAGGCTGAGATTTTTTTAAGTTGGAATTTTTTAGACCTCTCTTTGGTATGTAATTCAGATTGTATAGTTTCTCATAGAAAGATCTAAATCTATTTGCTATATCCTCCAGTTTAGAAATATTATCACCCTCTCTTAATTTGAAGATCTTGCGATCTATTTCTCGATTCTTTAATTTGTTCATTAAAATTGAATCTGCTCTATTTCCCTTATAATAATGTCTAGTGTTAAGTTTCTTTAGTTTATTTTCTATTTTAATCCTAGTTATATTATTAATCTTCTCCTGGCATTCCTTAATATCACGAGCCTTGTCTTTGGAATGATTAAGTTTATTTGCTATAGACAAATTATAGAATTTAATGTAAAGATCTGCTAACTCAATTTTGACACTGTTGATCATCAATAGCTTCTTCTCATCCTCCGCAATATCGGTCTACAAGATATTGCTCTCTCCTGGTGCTCCTCCTACCTCTCCCAGCGCTCTTTCAGTGTTTCTTTCTCTGGCTTTGCTTCTTCTCCCCAACTCCTCTCTGTTGGTGTCCTCCAAGGTTCAGTCCTTGGTCCCCTACTGTTCTCCATCTATACTGCCTCCCTTGGTAAACTCATTAGCTCCTTTGGCTTCCAATATCATTTCTATGCAGATGACACGCAAATCTACCTGTCTTGACTAGTGTCTCTGACTGCCTCTCTGCTATTTCTAACCGCATGGCTGCCCACTTCCTTAAACTAAACTTGACCAAAACTGAAATTCTTGTCTTTCCTCCCTCAAGTGTTGTTACTCCTGTGTCTGTCTTCCTGCAAGTCAACTGTGTTACCATCAGCTCCACCACGCAGGCTGGCTGCCTAGGTGTTCTCTTTGACTCCGACCTCTCCTTCAAGCCTCACGTACAATCTATCGCCAAATCCTGCCGCTTCCATCTCAAAAACATGGCTTTTTTTGATATGTTGTTTCCCTGAATGGATTGATTGTGAATATATAATTTTTATGTGAATGTGATGTATATTTTAGAAGTTATGAATATGCTGTAAAAACGGTATTCTTCCTGCCTGTGATAATTGCATCTTCTATTGTATAAGATAATTGAATCACAGGCAGAGGGGAGGATTTTGTGTGGGCTGTAACCTCTGTTTTATTGGCTACTGTAGATAACGTGTGTGTCCCTCCCCTGCATGGGAGCAGGGCATAAAAGAAACTGTAGCTTGAATATCTGTTGTTGTTACTTCCAGTAAAGTCTTGTTCCAGCATTAAGCCTTGGCTCATGTTTGGGGGATTGGAAAACTACACTCTGGGGATTGCTATAATCACTTACTCCCCAGAGTAAACTCTTGCAATAGCTTGATTTGTTCCTGCTAAGCTCTCTAGATTTAGGAGAGGTTCGGCCACTGGGAGCTGGATCCTGATCGTGGATCCAGGGTGGGTGGAGACGGCGAGACCCCGGCGCAGCTGTATCGCTGGAAGTGGGGTCTGCAGTGCTGATGGTGTCTATTGGAGTGCTTGGAGTCCTCAGCGAGCACTAGGCACATCGATTGACGGAGGTACTCAGTCGGAGTGCCAGCGTTCCGTCACAGTGGTCTTACGTGCTCCCAACTTGCGCCGTTACAGTCCATAATGAATGCGGCAGCGACGCTCATCTTCCTGTCCGCCCGCACCTCCTGTGCCTCACCTTTTTGTCAGTCCCTACATTGGCTTCCTATAAAATATAGAGCTCAATTTAAAATTCTGGTTCTTGCTTTCAAATTGCTACATAATACTGCTCCCACCTATCTATCCTCCCTTATACACAAGTATGTCCCGTCTAGGCCCTTACGATCTGCTGAAGACTTACGTCTATCTTCTGTCCGTACTCCCACTTCTGATGCTCGCCTTCAAGATTTCTCGAGGGCTGCACCGTTCCTGTGGAACTTGCTTCCCTCCTCCGTTAGAGGCTCACCCAGTCGCCACTCCTTTAAAAAATCATTAAAAACCCACTTCTTCATAAAAGCGTATCAATTAAACTGTTAAAAGCTCCTGACTGATTCATCTTCTACAATTGTCACTAATCTAATACTATCCTTACCTTTTTGTGTCATTTTACCCCACTCCCTCTAGCATGTAAGCTCATTGAGCAGGGCCCTCAACCCCTCTGTTCCCGTGTGTCCAACTTGTCTGGTTACAACTACATGTCTGTTCGTCCACCCATTGTAAAGCGCTGCAGAATTTAATGATGCTATATAAATAACATAATAATAATAACTCGCCATTTGTAAACACAAGCTCTATGAATTCCTAAATTTTATTTAGAAGTTATACAAATATACACTTTGACACATAAATGTATTAAAGTGTTAATATAAAATTAAGCACATAACTACTTACATATTTATAATAGAACTATATTACACACACACATATGATCTAAATTTGTTAACAATTATATATATATATTTTAATAAATCTTGTTTTTATTGTATTGAGGCATGAGAAAGACAAAATGAAATACAGTTGAGGGCACACAGGCCTCTAGAATATTACACTTGTAATTGAGATATTCAGATGCATCATGTACATGTACTTAGGTAATTCCAAACTTTGCATTTTAACTGAAGGTGTTTTCAGGGTCACAAAACAGAGTAGGGAAACAATACGTTTCCGTTTATGTATTGCTCCTTTTTGTTTTATTTTTTATTTATTTATTTATTTTAAAAAATGTTGTAAACTTTCCTGGAGTTATATGTCGAGCAATCACAGAGTGTATATTTATGTCCATACAGTTATGAGTGAGTGTGGACAGGGGCTTTCTAGTCCCCTGTACATGGGTGCTAGCGTGGACCCCTAAGGGTCCCTAGGCTGTATATCTAGTATCGTGGGGGACAAGTGCATACTGTCATATATAAGTTTGTTTCTTTGGCAATCATTCATGTCTTTCATTAAATCACCATGTACTTTATCAGCTACAGACTCACTAAGGGCTGAGTGAGTCCTCTCTTTGTGGAAGGGTATAGGTCCACCTTGTGTGTTGGGGTTTTGCTATAAACTGTGCTGTGACGCTCAGAGGCAGTCTTGTGAGGTAAATGTAGCCAATTATGTTAAGGTTATTGTTAGTCTTGGGGGTCATTGTATGTGTCGTCATCTCAATGTGTTCTATCTTAGGGGGTTCTGTAAAATGGATGCTGTCCAGGAGGTGGGAGGGTCTGGGAGGGAGGGTCTGCTGCTGATTGGCTGGAATGTGTCTGCTGACTGTGAGGTACAGGGTCAAAGTTTATGTTTATGTTCGCCATCCGCGGCGAACCGTTCAGGACATCACTAATAGCCAATAATATCTTAACTAGAACTAAAAAAGAAGGAGGAGTGGAATTTCCCAATTTATTACACCTACATGAAGCATTAATGTTAAGTCACTTCAATCTCAGTTTGAATCTGAAAACAAGAGTCAGATTGGTATTATTTTGAAAAAAAGATATGAACTTACGGGAAATATACAAGATTTTTTGGTCAAATTTGACAGTAAAAAATAAGCCTATATTAAACCCACTAATAAACAACATGATTATTACTCTGATTAAATTACAGAAAAAACTTTTATTGAAAAATGAAATATCTTATGAAGCCCCTATCGAAATACTCTCTTATGATATAACAGATTTAAATTTACAAACATGGAAAATTTCAGGGATCCAAAAAATTTTGGATATCCTAAAAGGTGGAGAACTAATGTCTTTTGGTTTACTCCAACACATATATCCACTCTCCAATAAAGAGATATTTCCATACTTAAGAATTAAAAACAATTTGTTGCATAAGGAATATGTTTCCTTTCATTGGATGAACGACTTGTTTTCCTTCTCTTATCATCATAAAAAAAAAAAAATCCTATCCAAAATATTAACCCTTCTGAATCCGAACTACCTGACACCAGGAAAAGAAAAAAAAAAAATCAAACCTATACTACAATTACTAAATGGTAACTGATTTACATGTGGTTTTTCCCATTGAGGCTTGGTTATAAGGCTTTTCTCAAGTTTCACATACGATCCACTGTATCTCTCTGATTGAACTGCATTATAAATTAATATATTGGTGGTATTTTACTCCAACACATCTTGATAGATGTTGGAGATGCCACCTAGAGTAAGGTACTTTAGCTAACATATGGTGGGAATGCATTGAATTAGCAAATATTACGTGTAAAATTAAAACAATTGTAAAAAAAATACTTAATAACAACAAGTTTACCCCACATATGTTTACAGGGAATATAGATTTCACACAATGTTACAAGGCACAAGAATATTTTAGTAACACATATTCTATTTGCAACTAAAATAGTATCAGCACGCAAATAGAAAACAACAAATTTAAATTGGTCAGAAATAAGAGATCAAATTCCATACCAATATAAAATGGAACGCAGTTTTTTTCATAATAAATGATACAGTGGAAAAATTTGAAAAATATTGGGAACCTTGGACAAGTTTTCTGTCAACTTAATTTTCACATTTACAACTTCAGACTATGATCTACCTCTAACTTTCAAATATAAATATAAATATAAATAACGAATCAATTTTAACTTCCTACTACCCTGGACATTAGAGTATGAATGTGAACTTGATAGGACAATATGTATTGTCTTATATTATATTGTTAGCAATGAATTTAACACTATTTCTTATATGATTTACCACCAAACTGTTAAAATTGGGGGGGAAAAATTTATGTATATAATTAAATAAGTAAAAGAAATTTAGTATAACTTGCTTTTTTCACAAATAAAAATGTATAAATAAAAAAAAGTAGACCTATATTCACCTAAAATGGCTTCTCTGAACCTTTGGCACGCACCCCCAGCGAGAGCACTCTGACCATGACCCACCCGGAACAGCATGTCCACTAAGGCTAAAGGGGATCTAGCGCTATTTCCATCCCGGCAATGTCGAACTGTTTTCGGTTTGCATCATAGCCGCGGCTGGTCAAAACTTTAAAGGAGTGGCTTTTCCGCTACAGGCCTTGCATCAGATTTCTATTTTCACAGATTGTGTGCACGGGAAGGGGCAATGTGGGAATACCATATGTGTGGGGATTCTTTATGTTTAAATATGTTTTGGGGGAATATTTGTGCCAGACACCTGTGTGTAGGGGATATAACTGAATTAAGCAGTGTGTGTTGCAATCCTCTCCAAGACTCAAACGCCTTGGTGGGCTGACCTATGTTTTTGAGGGACTGTGTATAAAAAAACCTGTGTGTCACTCAATAAAGTGTTCACTATTTTCACCCTTCATCAAGTCTTTGCTGATGTTTGGGTGAGGGCAATAATTCCCTAATACTGCGGAATCAGGGAAAGATTCTTAGCAGAGGTAGTCAGCAGGAGTAATGGAGATCCGCTACAGTTATCATTTATAAACACCACTTGATTCAAGTACAAGAAGTATACTTTTAACATTGAGCATCATTTATGTGGCAGGCTGGCTAGTTGTGGTATGGGATACTTATCAATGCTGACACATAATGTCAACATTTGCTTTTAGAAGCTCAATAATATTGTTATATTTCATGAAAACACCACTTGTTTCAAGTACAAGAAGTATATTTTTAACCTTGAGAATCACTTATGTAGCAGGTTTGCCTTTGGCAGCTATAAGAAACTAAGCAAGCCTGACCCTTGCTAGCTGTGGTATGGGAGACCAAACAGAATTCACAGGTGTTCATGTCAGAGGATGTGAAAGAGAGGACTCAGTGATGGGCATAAGAGCAGAGCAAAACAGCATTTATGGTAAAGTTAGTAGGGGAGAGGTATGAAGAGGGGATGGGAAACCATTAGTGGAGTAAGAGGGGTTTATACGGAGAAATGAGCAAAGGGGGGGGGGGAGATACATGGAGGGGGAAAAAGAGTGAGTAGAGGGGGGGATAATGAATAGAATGGGTGGAAAATGGGTGAGGGAGTGGGGAGAATGAGCGAGATGGGAGATAGATAAAGAAGCAGGTGGAAAATGAAGGGAGGGAGAAAAACAGCAGTATATAGAGGCAGGGGAATAATGAGGGGAGAGAGGAGGAAAATGAGCAGTACAATGTCACTAGTACCTACTCTGCTCTGAGGTGTCTTGACTTCTCCTTGGCAACTATATAGAGCTAAGCAGACCTGTTTCGCTAGCTATGGCATAGAAGACTTTTCAATGCTGACACATAATGTCAACATTATATTTTAGAAGCTTAATGATATTGTTATAGTTTTTTTTTTTTAAATGCCCCCTTCAGGCCTACCTTGCATGGCCAAGGCACTGTTCAGGCTTTATACAATAACACATATATATTCACATACAGTATATTCATATACAACATTAGGTGTTCTGTACAGCCACAGAGAAAGCAGATAGAAATTGACATGAACCAACAATATGGCAAATAGTATAAAACACAGGCCACACTCCAAGGCTTTGGATTGTGAATTTATTGAAGGGTAAGTCTCCACACAAAAATGTGCAATGCAACGTTTTGATTCTATAGAGCCTTAATCATGCATAATTATCAGCATGATTAAGGCTCCATAGAGTCAAAATGTTGCATTGCACCTTTTTATACCATTTTTATACCATTTGTCAGATTAGAGCAGATGGCGGTGTCTGTCATCTTCACAGAGCACCTCCTAGGTGGATGGTCAGATTACATTGCGGAACCTGAGTGTGGGGTTGTTTCTTATGAACATAAAATATGTCTATTCAATAAATATAACCATTTTTCTATTTGTTTGGGCCTTTCTTTAGCATGCCTTTTTTATATTATTAAGATAGTTTGATGCTCAGAAATCAAATATATATATTCACAATACCCATTATTATCTACTGACCATCATAAGAAAAATTATATACATTATTTACTCTTAAACAAGATCTGAATATAATACAACAGTAATTAGCAAACAAAAAATAAATGTCCTCAGCAATCAAAGTGATAGCTGAATAAAACACCTACATTTATTGCTGAGTACTGAGCACATTTATTTTTTATTTGCTTATTATGAACAGAGACCTCACCTTGTAGCTCTTGCACCAATTTGCTCTGGAGTGCCTGCCACACACTAATTACTTTATAATACAAAACCGTGACATTTCACGATACATGTTACTCCTTATCTAAATAAACATCAAAGGTATCCCCATAAGTAAATGGATTTGCAACTGGTACACATTATACTTTTATAACCTATTTTATCATAACTGACGTAATTTAATTCAGAATCCCAAGTATTATTGTCATTAGCCGAACAGCAAAAAATACGTCGGGTCCTTTTCCACAGTCAGGAACAGAATGTGAATTCTACACTAGAACATCTAGTGAACAGACAAAAGTCACTCATTACCATCTTTAATAATATTAAAATGTCACTTAGGAGCATTCAATACATCCTCGAATAAATAGAAATGGAAATTCAGAAAGTTCATAGCAAACATATCTAGTTTCAATTAGAGATTAGCAGAGCAATTACAGCCTAAATACCAACACATTAGCATTTGGCTAGGTGATAACTTTAACAATAACCAGAACATATTTCCTGCCAATAACATTGGCGTTTAAATAGTGAGCAAACTTTTTTAGACCAAAGTGATACAAGCACAGGGTATATGAATCTTTGAATTCTAGCTCATTTTTATGAGCATCAGTTAGCATAAAAGACTAGCAAAAGCAGTGTAATTTGTATATGGATATTTGAATTATGGAATTCGTATGATAAGCTGGTTCTGTATCTCATAAGGACAAGTTTGGACTTACCAATATATTGGCACTTACTTGTTAGTGCCATATTACGAACTTTGAAAGCCATTTGGCTATTTTGGACTCTGCTTCTTACATTTTCTTATTTTTCTGTACAAGAGCAGTCCTCATGTTTTTATATATTGTTTTTTATTTATATAATAAAATATTTTTTTAACCATATACATTTTTACATAATTTTTTAACTCAAGCTTAGAGAGTTCAAGTACCACAAGAAGAAGGACAGGGACGTCCTACACAATAATCCCACAGCACCATTCATGGGAGCCATATAACTATATTTGGCTCCAGGCTTGTGAGTACAAGACCTATTCATCCTTCAATTTGATTTTATTTAAACTGCATTATTTTTTTATATTAGGTGTATTTTAGAAGTGTGATCCACCATTGTATGTATTTGACAAGTGTTTAGCATTGTATACAAAAGTCTCTCCTAATGTATTTTTAAGCAGTGTTGACAACTTCAAAAACCTTTATCCAACTTCTAATAGTTATACAGCATTGGTAAGGCATACTTTTTCAACACCGTCCAGAAATGTCTGCGGGACATTAGACATTTAGACTATTTCAAACCGTGTATGTCAAGAATGATTGAAACGCAATGGTTAGAGCCCCACTTAGAGTATCTATGAGTTCTTTTTCTGGCAAGTTCAGCTTAGCGTGTACTCATTCTGAGGTCAATAAATTGAGCATCATTTATATGAGTAATAACATCCTGACCCAGGACATATAATCCCCATAATGAGCTTTTTGGATGCAGAGGTTCATTTGCATCAGATTGTGTCCATCTCTCTTACTATTTTATTTGTCCATACAGGCAGGGCCAGATCTACCATCCTTGATGCCCAAAGGCCAGTTTCCTCAATGCAGATTATATAAATAATATTTACAATTATATATATATTATTTAAAATTATATATATATATATATATATATATATATATATATGTATATATATATATATATATATGTATATATATATATATGATTTATATATGTGATTTATATATTATTTATTTATATATTTATATGATTTATATATGTGATTTATATATTATTTATTTATATATTTATATCATTTATATATGTATTATTTATATAATCTATTATATATATATATATTTATATATATATATATAATTTTAAATAATATATATATATAATTGTAAATATTATTTATATAATCTATTATATATCTACTAGTAATATATTATTTATATGTCTGTATATATCTTTATTTGGAGTATGTGATTGGATGGATGAATGTGACTTGGTGGATAGTTGAATGGTAAGTGGTGCAGGGCAGGAAGATAGTGTGTGTAGGCTGCATGTGGTGCTGTATGTGTAGGGAGGCTGTTTTTTGTGTTCTGTATTTGTCGGGACACTGCTTGTACATTTGCGTGATGGGGTTGGCGGCTTTTGGTGTTGCATTGTGAGGGTAGGCTACTTGTGGTGTTACTTGTATTTGGGAATGCTGCTTTTGGGGTTGTGTGTGTGTGTGTGGGATTAGCTGCAAGTAGGGTTGAGCATGTGTGCGGGAAACGCTGATTGAGTAGTTGCGGGTGTATATGTGAATAGGTGCTATATTCTGTTTTTATGGGATAGGGTCTGTAGAGTAAGTGTCTATGGGCACAGAGGATGTAATATGTATTTAGGGGGATAGGGTCTGTACTGTGAGTGTCTAGGGGCACAGAGAATGTAATATGTATTTAGGGGGATAGGGGCTTTAGTGTGTGTTGGTGGAGTAGTAGGGACTGTTGTGTGTGAACGAATAGGACATCTTCTATACATTAGGAGGGGGAGGTATAAAAACTATATTAAACTCCAAACCGGGGAAAAACTCGGCCCCTTATGGCCTGCCCCTTAAGTATTATAAGCAACACCCTTTATCCAAAATTTGTAGCAGCTTTCAATTCCGTAACAAAGGGCCATCTGCTCCTCATAAAAGCTCAGGCTGCAAATAATATTATCTTACTATAGGAGGGCAAGTATGTTAAGCAGTGTGTGCGCGATCGTCCATTTCTTTGCTATATTGTGATCACAGGCTGCAAAGATTCTGGCAACTAGATTTGGACTAGTCCTACATCAGCTGGTCTTCTCAGACCAGACGTGGTTCATCCCACACAGAAAAACAAAGGCAATACCATCAGAGCCTTGCCACTAATCCACCAGACATAGCACTCCTCGATAAGCACTCTTCTCCTCTTGATTGATGCGGAGAAGGCTTTTTACAGGATTGACCGGTGCTAGCTGTTTGAGGCACTAGAGCATGTTGGCCCGAGGCAACATATGCTACAAAGGATACATTCCCTATACTCCTCCCCTACTGCACATGTATGTATCAATGGGGCATATACAGTCATTTCCTATCCAGAATGGTGCCAGACAGGGGTGCCCATTATTGCTGCGGCTCTTCATCCTTGCCCTTGAACCATTCCTACAGGTGAGAAAACCTGGATATGAAGAGAGTAGAGATGGGGTAGACCATAATAAAGTGGCAGCATACGCTTATGATATACTTTTCTTTGTATTGAGCCCTGAGGTTTCCCTCCCTAACATAATGTCTGAATTCAAGGTATATCACGACATCTCAAACCTAAAAATCAATTATTCCAATCCACTATGTTAAAAGTAGGTTTCCCACGCATATGCGCCACCTGGACTGTGGGGAATATAGTGGCGCTTTATAAATGCCAATAATACTATAAACCCATATTTGCATTCATATATACACACTGGCTAGATCAGTCCTTTATAAAGTTGTTCATGCAGAGGTCTTCATTATTGTTTTGGTACCCTAGGTCACGCCAAGTGTATTCCCACTTCCTCCTATAAAGGGCTTTTCTTAATTTGACCTGTAGGTAGTTTAGCAGATTACTTCCTGAATTGGTACCATTATGTGGGATAGACATATTAGATGAAACTAAATTAAGGCAGTGTTTATCAGATGGCTTCCATTTTGGTATCCCTATAGCAAACAGCTGAAAGATCAAAATGTTAAAAACTGCTTTTCTCACAGACTGCCCAGCAGTAGTCAACTCCATCTGCATCTGGGACAGCTGCGCTCATAAATACGAACTGACAGCACCTCTATCCTCTATAACACCTCTACTACGCAATAGAGCTTTTCTACCAAGGATGAGGGCAAGAGACTTTAGAGGGCTAGAATATGCAAGTATACAGAGAATATACAAATTATACGACAACGACCCCATAATCACTTTTAATTACCTCAAAAATAGGTTGACTCTAACTAATTCAGGCTATTTCCGATACTTACAAGCCAGGGACTTTGCACAAACCCACATTAGAAAGGCGGTCCATACCCCAATGACGTTTTTTTGAGAAAGCATGTGACGCTGAATTGTATCAAAAGGGCCTTATCACCTCTATTCACACCAATGCTCTACCACGACAGATTGGGGCAGACTACACTGTACAGACCAATGGGAGGCAGCATTGGGGGAGGTGCTTTAGGGCATTGACTGGCAGGGCATCTGGGAAGCAAATGGTAAAACCTCAATATGTGTGACTATGCAAGAGCAGGCATACAAAACGATGTACAGATAGTACATCACCTCTGTTAAGCTGTATCACATGAGAAAAGTCCCTACAGACCTCTGCTGGAGGCTATGTGGGTTACGAGGCACATAAGAACACATGTGGTGGGGTTGCTCACAGGTAAAGACACTGTGGGGGAGGGTGGGAGAATTAGCCGCAGATATCTTTCATAAACCAGTCACCCTAGACCACTGGGTCTTCCTGTTGTCTAGACAGATTGACGGGTGGACCAGGGCAGAACAGAAGCTACTCCATTTGATCATTCTAGCGGCCTGTAGAGCCTTAGCGCAGAAATGATTGCACCCAGAAGTCCCACCCTTAGATTTAGTAGTAACAAAACTTAAGGACAACTATCTGATGGAGAACCTCACACCCAGATCAGAGGGACTATGAAAGCCTTTACGAAGGTGTGGGAACCACGAGAGGCATACACTAACGGCTCTTAGGGAGAGGTACCCAAGGAGGCTAGAGGATGTGGGAACCATGAAAATGAACAAACATGGGGGTCGGGCTGTCCTCATCCTGTCATTCCGAGCCGACGCCTTCTCTTTCGTCTATCTTCTTTTCTGTCTCATCTTTTTCTTCTCTTTCTCTCGAACCCACTGGTTGGACTCCTGAAAGGGAGACTTCCCTCGGTGGGTGACTATTCCCCTGGGAGGCAGGAGGCAGAAGCATGTTCCAGCCCTCTTGTAAATCGATGGCAAAAGGTAAGATGAGAGGTGGACCCCTGTTTTTTACGTGAGTGTCTTGCTAAAGTGTAGGTAACACAGTCTACATTATCAATCGATCTGGTACTATGCACTTGGGTCACTATCATCGCGCCACGTGGTTACGGTGTGACATGATGCATCAGCTTGTCCTCCTGTATTATATGAATATGCAGGGTGGGACCAATGTATACACCCTAACATTTTTGCCACAGGGGTGGTGGTGCGGCCAGCGGCTAGGGCCGCTTTGTTGGACCTCGGCCAGGGTCACTGCTTTTGGCCCAGGAAGAAGCCCCGGACAGGGGGGTCGGCTGGGAGTTCCGGGGGACTCTTTGTCACCCCTGGTATAAGATGACTATATTGATGCACACCTATCGCTGTTCATTGTCCTGTGTAAATGTCGATTGTGAACATGTTGTGGCTTGAAATGAAACCTAGCGTACTTTGTCTATACTGTTTGTCTCTGTATGAAAAACTTTTAAATAAAGAATGAAAAAAAAATGTGGGAAAGTTATGTAGTGGCTTACTATTCTATGTCAAACCCCTAGGAATGTGTACATGTTTTGATCTTTGATATACATGTTTCAAAACAAAATTGTAATATTTAAATTACTGGATTTCAGCTGAATTTAAGTTGTTCTTTGTCAAAAAAGTAAAAAAGGGCCGTTCTTAATTTTTCCCATAGACAGAGAATAATTTGAGAACAATATAACTGCAAAATGCTACATACTGTACCAATGCTACTTCGGAGATGAGTGTATGATCAAGGAATTTGGCACA